TAGCATAATGTCATTTCATTTGAGTGCGATAAGAGTTATGCGCGTAGAAGTCGAATTTTTAGTGTAATAATAGTTATGCGCGTTTTCTCTTTCAGAAAAAAAAAAAAAAAAAAAAAGTTAAGCGCGTTTAGCAAGACCCCTTCAGTTTGACAACATTTTTATGCGAGTATAAACGGTAGTTTACAAACTGCCAATTAAATTAAAAAATGGTTATATACATTGTAAATTACCCACAGATATATATATTCTGAAATATGGACATATTAAACTTCGAATGTACTCAAATATTAGATTAATTTTGATACTCTTTTGCAATCATTTTTACAAACGATTATTCAATGAAATATATATAGAAATGACAAAAGATAAAACATTTGGCGCTCCAGAAGTGTGTGTACCAATATGGAGGTTACTAATCTTGTTTGCCTTCTTTGAATCCAGTTGTATGAAAGGACTGAAACCTGTGGGTAGGGGGTATATTCACTTGGCTAACACAGACATTCTCCGAACTCGTAATAGAACTAAAATGAGGAAAATCGGAGCAAAACTAAGGCCTACCGGTTACCTGCAACACATACTACGGGAATACCCGATTATTGACTATTCAACGAAAGATTATATATACAAATAATAAAGATAAAACATTTCACAATCCCAAAATGTGACCTAACAATGTTTTAACCGTATCTAAGCATGTATTAAAGCTTTTAACGGCTGACCGCGTTTTTTAAATGTTTGCCTATCTCCCTTATCTGTCTGCTTGACAAGGCAATCAGTCATTTTGTAAATTTTTTATGCAAGCATTTCAAAATGCATTCTAAAACCACAAATATTATTAATACATTGTAACAAGAATTGTACTTTAAAGATTTTTTGCCTAAGGTTTTCGGTCTGAAAAACGAAATGAATTATTATTTTTGTAGTAATTTTAAATTTCTAAGATTTTATTTAGAATGACACTGTATTAACAAATAATATGAATTAATTGTAACGAAAATTGTACATTAAAAATATATTTTGCCCATTGTTTCACAGCTGGAAAATAAATTGCTATTTTTTGGATTAATTTTAAGTCCTTGAGATTTTATCTTCAATGACACTGTAACCACGAATGTGAATATATTGTAACGAAAACCGCACATTAAATAATTTTTTATTTTAGGGCTCAAAAAATAAATTACTATTGGTGCTCCCGAAGTATGCGAACCAAGATGGCGGACATCGGAACGTAACATGGTAACAGGTTAGGGTTAGGCGATAATTTTTTTCCAATTTTCCTTATTTTAGTCCTATTATCAGTTCGAAGACTAGCCAAGAGCCTCCCGTAGTATTTATACCTTATGGCCTAACCCTAACCTAGTACACATATTACATTCCGATGTCCGCCATCTTGGTTCGCATACTTCGGGAACCCCTTACTATTTATGTGGATCAATTCTAAGATTCCATTCCAATGACACTGAAACATCGAATATGAATATATTGTACCGCGAACCGTAGTTTATAGTTTTTCCTCATTTGATTTTGGAACTGTAAAATAAACTACTTTATTTCAAAGAAATCCTATCTAATATAAGAAAAAGTGCAGTTGTGAATAGAAATTTTGATTTTTTTTTTGTTAATAGAACCCCCCCCCCCCCTTCCCCCTCACAACCCCCAAAAAATATAAAACAAAGAAAATTTTCAAAACGCAACATTCAAAGAATTTATTCCCACTGTTTAGCCTTACTTTATTATTTCCCTGAGGAACTTGTGGTTGAAAATAAACTGCTTACTGATTCAATCTGCAACCGAATTTCTATTTTTAGGGCAAATTTCCCGAGGGCTTTTGAACTAAGATAAGAAATATTGATTGGTAAAGAATGTGATGCGTATAACGTGGGTGTCTAAGAGGGAGATGTATCCAAGCAAGAAATTTTTGGGCTTCCGGGAGGAAATTTTACTTACTATATAGGGACATCAGGAATCTGAGATAAAAATGTGGCGTGATCGTAATGCGTTTACTGTAGCCAAAGGCGAACGAAAAATTTAATTCTTCAATAGTGAAATTCCCTCAAAACTCTCCTGAAACCGTGAAAATATATGCCATTGCATTACAGTACCACCGCATTTGTGGAAATTTTACTTTGTATTTTATTGTCACTATATAGACAACATAAATCTGAAGTAACAATTGTGAAGGGTTATACAGTCTTTAATGCGCTTAAAGCAGATCGAAAAATTTAATTCTTTTAGAGTAAAATTCATTTTTTAAACGAGATTTCTATTACCGGACCATAGCATTTTAGTAAAAACGGTGACGACATGGCATCAATATAATTGGAATGACACCTATTATGGAAATTATTAAAATTCCCTGTAAATTTACTTTGTGAATAAACAACCCATAAACCATCGACTTAGACTCTTATCGTATCTCTTATCTTATGACATCAATAATTTAAAATTTAACTCGAATGTTTTTTCGTTAAAGAGTGGGTCAAAAATTGCAACGCAAGTTTGTTATTGACGCAAAAAAATGGGCCCACAGCCTTTTATTCCAAAATATAATACTGTATCATTTTTACACATAGAATCGGACCTATCTATGCTAGTGTGTCAATTAAAAGATTTCCTAATACCGGACAAAATTTATGTTTTAAATTGGCAACGACGTCTCATATTTGTCATCGACCAATTTTATGGGTTTATTTCGGACACGGATTGTCGATTTGTTGATGATTGAAATCTAGAGATGAATATTTAAAAATTCTGAGCTTGTTTTGTGAGGTGAATAAAGATTTAATCTGTTTGTGACAGCGAGAAAACGGCCTAATTGGACTTCTGTGTAGATAAGAGGTTCATCTTGATAGCGACATATCGTGTGGTCTTGAGAAAGTCTCGTAGACTTTTGCTCCCAGCAAGACCCTATACAAGCAGTGACTGGCATGTATGGAGCTGATATCATTTGGAAGGACCGATATCTTTTCGGTAGAGATGTGTAACTTGTGTAAAACTGGGCATTTTAAATCAAATATTCGAACAGAATCGAATTGTAAGTTATTCGAATTGGTTTAGACGAAAATTTCGAATCGCGGCCCTCTTGCTTTTTTTTCACAAAAGAACGGATGCATCGTTTTTCCGAGGTAAATATTGCTGAAACATGTTTCTCATTGTGTTGGAACGCTCAGTGAACTAACTGAGTGATTCCATGTTTCCAGTATGTGCCTGTTACAATATAAGTCACATACAATAACATGTCTTCCAAAATTTCGAGATTCGATTCGAAAAAAATATTTCGAAAAAAATACCTCAAAGTCTGACCTTGACCAGACGAAATTTTACAGAAATATATTTATGTTAGTTTGATCACTTAGAAAAATTCTTTTTATTCTTGCTACGGCAAAATATGCATACAGATACATCGGCGCAAAAGAATAAAAGAAGGATAAGTAGTTAGTCTCGCAAAAACCAAATCGATAGTTAAAATATATAAAAGGTTTTACGGGTTCAATTACACGGGATCTAACAAGCGTAACCCCGAGATAACAAATGGAGCCATCCGTCTTGATTACTTCTTCATGCAAGTGTTATGGGGTATTTCGGTAGCTAATTCTAGATTTTTTGCCAATATATCAAATTTCTTATTTTTAGCATCAACAAATAAAACAGATACAGACATTTTTGAACCTTTCATATATTTAAACTATCGATTTGGTTTTTGCGAGACTAACTACTTATGTTTCTTTTATTCTTTTGCGTCGATGTATCTGTGTGCATATAATGCTGTAGCAGAAATAAAAATACCTATTGTAAGTGATTACACTATAGCATAAATAAATTTCAGTAAAATTTCGTCTGGTCAAGGTCAGACTTTGAGTTATTTTTTTCGAAATTTTTTTTCCGATTCGAATCTAGAAATTTTGGAAGACATGTTATTGTATGTGACTTATATTGTAACAGGCACATACTGGAAACATGGAATCACCCAGTTAGTTAACTGAGCGTTCCAACACAATGAGAAACATGTTTCAGCAATGTGTCAACAAGTACTAGTTCTTTTCACAACGCTTATCAATTCACTAATAGTAATTTTCTCAATCCTTTGCTGCTTCGATCAAATTTATTTTTATAACTCCACTCAGAACAAGACAATAACCAAGCTATAATTAAAGAGTCTGATTTATAAAAAAAACAGGCATTGTAATGCTAATCGATCGATTTATAATCCCAGTCCTGATTTGGTCACTTTTTGTGGAAACTCGAGAAAGGTCATAAACAAGAGTATATAACAGCCATGGGCAAACTACCGCCCGTGGGCCAAATACGGTCTATTGGGTAGATCAATCTGGCCCGCCTGATGCTGCCAAAACCAAACTAAAATCAAATTTTGATGTTGAGCTAAAAAATGGCTCAAGGAATTTGTAAAGATTGCGATTGGCTTTAGTTTTGGCAAGAGGCTCATTGTTTTTCACTTTTTCTTTTGTAACAGTGTTTATATTGTTCATAAAATGTAACTATTTACGTCACACTTACATGGCCCGCCAGTCTAGGTAAGCAAAATTTTTGGACTCTGGTCTATAACCTTTTACTCTTATCTGCAGACGCTGCAATTGTTTTACCTTTTTTTTTCAAAATATTTTTCGAATTTGAACTCTGGCGATAGAATTTCTGAGGGAAATGCGCTTGACCGCTATCGATAACCGAGTTGATGTATTACCCAACATCTGTATTTGCGTTCTAGGTCACTGAACCTACTAATTGCCGGCCAAAAAGACCGATAACGCAATGTTGAAAGGCTGATTAATTACAAGTGAGCTTGAAATTTGGGGGCTATCTTTCAAAAAATTCAGAAAATTTGAGTAGTATACCCAAATAAGGAAATTTAAATTTCAGAGCGTATATGTAAAAGTGTGGTGTAGGAGTCAAAAGTTGTTGTCAAGCCGGATCCGATCGCGGGTATGGTGAGTAAACGCGTGTGCAACCGTGCTAGAATAAAATTATGATCATAAAACACTTACGTTTGCATTTTGTCAGGTGGGTATCGGGTTCGAAACCTGGTGAACACATGCAAGTGCCGGACGGGACCATCCAGTTTCCTTCTCCATTGCAATAGAGCTTAGGTCGACGGTTTTCCTGATAAAAGAGAAAAATGTAATCGAGTTAAGTTAAAATCTGAGACAAAATTATGCCAATTTGGAGTAATTAGGATTTTTGGTTAGGGCGCCCGAGTCGGGGACCTAGATTTAGGCGATCCTAGTAAGAATCCAATTTGTTTGAAATACTCGTTGTGACAATGTTTTCTCCTCTGTATTCGAAATTTCCTGTAACTCAGTATCCCGTAATAAGCCAGTATTTGTAGCTTATTAGTCATATATTGAAGTTTCAAGTGGTAGTTGGAGTCAACTTTCGTACAAATCGGAGCCAGATTTCGAATTGAAGCACCCCCAATTTATTTCTTTGTTAAACTCAAATATGGGCAATCACCAATATTCATAATTCCATGCAATTTACTAAATATAGTGTCGCCGTTGTCAAGTCGCCCTATTATCACTATAATGAGATATAAACGACTCATAATAATTTATAATATACAATCATAAACAGCTTGATATATATTCATCAAAAATGAGGGATCACTTATGACGTCATAATTTCAATTGTCTGTTTCCCCGCGCTTTTATCATCAACCTATCAATTTAGCTAATCCACAGGTGCGACTTGATTGTTCCCGTCATAATTGGGATTAATCGCTTATACAGTAAGCCGGCATGGAAAATTTAAAATATACCCATGGAAAAAATGGGTTGATTTTGGTAGAAATTTAAATAATTACTGAAACCGTACATAATTATTTTGAGGCATTAAGCGCGGGAATCAGCCGATTACCCATGGACCAAGTTAGTAGTGTCAGTCAGTGAGGTCAGGAACTATATTATCATTGTTGACAGTGACTCGACCATTATGATTGCGTGCGAAACCACAATAAAAAATAAAAAAACGTGAAAACTATAAATTTTTACACGCGGAGTTGAATATACACAATAGTGAGCTAATAGGCTTCCCTAACCCATAAGAACGGGGTAATCCCCCTCCCCCGATCCTGACTAACTCAAAACTTTTGTAGTCTTAGGATGTCCGATGTTGGGGGATTCCGCAACCGCTGGGTGGTTGGTTACGACCATTCATCTGAAACATAACTGGTTAATTAACTAATCATATACCCGACATGGACTTTTAACCGGACGTGTCTCGTCCTATGTTTAAGCCATCTTATTAATTTACACCCTTCCTGGAGTGAATATAAAATTCATATTTAGTGCAATCCTTACAAAATCTTTGAACGCAAAATAGACAGGAGTCAGTCGACCAGAGCATCGTTCTCAACGTACAAATTAGCAAAACCGCATCCTGTTACGTCCAGACTAAATTGATTCGCGTAATTTTACAACGTTCTATTTATTTCAGGTCGTGAGAAGTTTAATAGAAAATAACCCGTAATTTGAGATTTGATTAAATTAGTTTAAATTTAAGCCGGTAATTTTGAATACACACGTTTTAAGCATTTCTACTTATTTTGTCTGATCGGAATTTGTCTAGCTCAGCAGACACATGTGTCCTTTCAATCAGGTGACAATAAGGTAAAAAGGGTAAAATCACAGGTAATTTTACTGGACACTTATAGTAGTATGTGAAATTGATTAAGTGCTTCCTAAACAAAAATTCGCTGGCCTAAATTATTAAATGTCCTGCCCGCAGGCTTTTTAACAAATTGCCAAATGAGAAAACAAGCCAGAAACTCTCGTTTTAATTACTGGTGCGTATATTAGTCAAATCTATATTTTGTTTTTTAGACAATTGCTTCGAAAAAAAGCCTTGTGCTAATGTTACATATGCATGTGCCAACTTCATTTAAAAATAATAGAGCGACATGACCGGGTAAACAGACAATTAAAATTATGACGTCATAAGTGATACATCATTGTTGTTAAATATATATTGAGCTATTTGTGACGGTTTATAATAAGTTATTATGAGCCATTTATATTTTATTATGGCGATAATAATTGGACGTGCATGTGTCTATATTTTTAGGAGATTCGTGCCTTTTAGATTCCGTATAGCCATATTCTTTAAGAATAATAAGGCGACATGCTATTAAGGCGACATGGCAAGGTCGACACAATATTTAGTAAATTGTAGAACATTCATACCAGGTTTATTACGATATTTTAATGAGTGTCCATAAAGTCCCTTTACAATTTCAATTTTGTTATAAAATCAGTTCTCAATATATCTTAACAACAAACCTGGTTAAGATATAAAGACTGGTTAAGATATAACTTACTCTATAATAAAATCGAAATTGTAAAGCGACTTAATCGATGTTCGTAAATCGCTATTTACACATAGGAAGCATGTTAAATCTACTTGTTTTTTTATAGTATAGGTCGCCATATTCGAGTGGTACGCCTTTATTTAATAAAAGTTGTTTAGCAGAAAAATCCTGATTAAAAGTTACTTTTTCCGAATTTTTGAATTTTGATCGAGTTCACTATTTCACGTAGGTGACAGTATTTTTTGACGTTTTCAAAATGCTATATATCATAAAAAGCATGATAAATTTACTTGATTTTTTTTCATAGTATAGGTCATCATACTCGAGTGGTACACCTTTATTTTATATAAGTTTTTTAGAATCGAAGTTGAATTTCGATTTTTTTCCTTATTTTCTCAACTATTTAAATTTTGATCGATTTTACTATTTCACGTATGTGACAGTTTTTTTCAAAACGTTGTATCCTAAAAAGCATGATAAATTTACTTGACCTTTTTAATAGTATAGGTCGTCAAAACGGAGCGGTATGTTCTTGGTATTCAAAAGGTCATTATTAGGGATCTAAATTGAGTCTACTTCTGTGGCTGTCTTGAGCCGAGGCTTTGACATGTTTTTCAATCTCAGTATAGCAATTAAGTCGCATTCCAATGAGAATGAAAGTGGCCTCTTCCGCCTTGTGGGTAGCCAAGTTGCGTCAAAACGAAAATTATTTGAAATGGGAACTTTAAATTTGGTTGCTAACAACATGCAGGGATGGGGTATTGTGGCGCCTCTATGCGAGACTGATTGCCCGGGATGCATTTTGGGTGACAATAATACTGGGTGACCCCTTTCCCCTAAAATAACATAACCCTAGAAATAACATAACTTTGTGCCAATCGTCTTAGATCGCCAAAACTTTTGAGTACAATTATACACAAACAGAAAATTTCAAGTTTTTTTCAATAAACTTTTTCATTTTTGTTAGAATTGCACACTATTTCTCTTACAATATGACGACTTATCTAAATCCGCATATGAATAAAAAGGTTAGCGCTACAGAAAACGAGTTGTGTAAAACATAAAGAAGTACGAGTTAAAATTAGACCAGATGCCAAGGTATTCATTGGACATTACCGCTTTGAGGAAACGCCTCCTACACTAAAATTATTTCAAACTTTTTTCATTAATTCCGTAACTATCAGTTTCAGAAGGTATAAATAACAATTATGTTAAGTCCGCCTTTGTGTGATAATATATATTTTGACATCTGGGTACTTAGCTGGTATTACGCCGTAAACATCGGCCACAACGTGGAAAATTCTGGAGTTTCAAAAATAGTTGGCCGTTACGCGCCAGTCAATATTTATAACTGACCGAGTTTTTGGACACAAAATGTGCACATGATTTGTTGATTTCCTTTTAATATTATGTTGTTGTTGTTCTTGTTGATATTTTTCCTCTTGTTGTTATGAAATAATCCTTTTTTAACGACAATATGTGTTTAAGAAGTTAAGGCCAATAAAAAAACAGGAGCAAAGAAGTGACTGGAAGCATCTGGCGCCCCTCAACAGCCTAAACCTAAAAAAATCTCTCGACGATTTGCCCGGTGTCTTTATTACTGGAAGGTTAAGCAATAGCCGCATTCTCTTCTTTTATCTCTCCCGCTAAATTTTTTGGGTGGCTCGGCTAGGTGTCTAAAGATAGGTTATATGGCGAACTGACAAAAATACTGCGCACCCCTGGTTTAAATAGTTTGTAATACATCCAAAAATTAAATTCCTCCCTTCTTAGGAAACCCTGCACAATGCCATCAGTAAATAATCTAACACAACTTACCGAAACAGCGTTAGTAACGCATGTCCCTTCCCCAGCAACCAGTGACGTCATTTCCGCTCCAGCAATGGTTCTTTGAAATGTTGCCAAGTTTTGCTTGTGAGGCGGGCAATACTTGTAATACACGCGAACATGCATTATAGCCATACAGGCACCGGTGTCCTGAAAAAAATCAGACAGAATAAGATACTCGTTTATTGAGGCGATTTATGCTGGCACGTTGCGATTCATGTGATAACTATAATAAATTGAAGCTACGAAAATTACTCTTGATTTCAGATATGACGCAAATCGGGGATTAATTTCCTTCGTCTTTATATCGAGGGATTAATTATTCAAATCCCTGTATCCCGAGACCGGATTTCGACAAAGTAGATATTATACCATTTTTGTATTATAGCGATAAATTATACTCTGTAATTTTCCACAAATCACAACGAATTTGTTTTGTGATCCTATGCGAATAAAAACATCGAAGATTCCCATGTTATTTTAAATCATAATAGTTCACGGCTTTTCTGAATGTTTCCCTCACAGGTCAGACTTGAACTTAATCTCTATGTAACGATATATATTTCCAAAAAGTGAACAAACACGTAGCTGTTCGGTATCAGTGGATTCTCGCAACCTTTGGTATCAGTAGTTGTTTCACTTTTAGTTAAAGGCACGAACAAATTTTAGGATTCAACAAAGCAATTGTTTAATCTGAATATGACGTAATGTCGATGACGTAATTTTCTTGTGTATTAGATATTTTCAGAAGTCTTACACTGGGCTATGTCCTCGTAATAAGTATATACATAGCTATGGAGGAATTACTAGCTAGGAAGAAATAAGAAATTAAACTGAGCAAAGAAGGGAATGTGACCAAAAAGGCTAGGTACCACTGCAATAAAGATTGCGAAAACTATTGGAAACATATTTTTATAAATTGTTTCCGCTAGGACGTCCCAAGATCATTTTTAATCAATCATTGCAAAGAACTGAATATATCCCCCGTAAATATTTTCATTTTGGTAACAAATGCCAGTATTATATCTTTTGGCATAGAATACGTTCTCGTAACAACATTTGTTACTAGACATTACTACATTTGTTGGTAGAAACATTTGAACACTAAACGCGTAATATCATAGTCCTAGTGCACAGGACTACGACAGTTATAACCACCATTAAAAATAATAATAATGCGTAGTTAGGGAGAAATAAAGAGTTACTGTATGGGAAAAGGAAGGAATAATTTGAAAAAAAAAGGTAAGAAGAAGCCATAAACACTTAATTAAATTTTGTACTTAATGCAAGGATACACATTGCTTCAATAGTTATGGGGTCAAGTTACCCCAGACAGCATTCTTGGAACCATAACCCCTAATACGACCCCAATACTTTGTGTTCCCAAGCGAATCCGAGCTGTTTTGCCTTGTTTACATTACAATAACGTTGCCAGAATGAAGTGCTGTTTACAGCTGATGATTTTTGCACGAACACCGTTTGCGCGAAACGTCGTTACCGCGAATCTCTACCCTAACCATTCGAAATGGTTTGTTAGAGAAATATATATTTGTGTTAGGGTGCAGCAAAACTCTTTTAAATATAATATGATTGCTATCTTTATTTTTGCCCAAAGGCACGCACTTGCGCAACGGCATAAAGCAAGAAAAGGTAGCTATTCTAGCGTAACCCCAACTGATAAGATTCACTACACACTATTATTTTTTTCTTCCTTTTTTAAAACTATAAACAATTTATTATTGGTCTCTTTCCGGTACATTTTTGATAAAAATAGTTCCCATAACTTCAAAGATTTTTCCGAAGACCAAATTTACCTCAAATTTTGTCCACAAAAGGGCGAAATATAAACAATTTTTGGAAAAATTGAAATTCCGTTTCGCTATTCACTCTGTCATGCAACGAAGCCAATGTATAGTGGAAAAACTGACATAGGCCAAACTTTTCAAGTTGGCCAAGTCAACTGGGGGCATTGCCTTACTAATAGGTTATTCAAACAAAACCTTCTGTTACGCGATTTCATACAATGATTAATACAAACTGACATGGTATAAAAGTCTTCTTTAGCGTTAGGATTTAAATACTAACTCCGAAGAGGAGAGTCTATAATATTTTATTTGTGTCTTTTTTTGGGGGAATTTCACATCCAAATGTCATATACCATATACAAAACTTTATGTTGAATTTTTGAATGCGAATAATTCCGTATACTGTACTGACAATATTCAACGGTATGCACAGCGTATTTACAGGCGTCTATAGGACTGCCATACGAGCCGCATAATTCTTCAAAACGTAATGGAGCGCATATTTTCTCACTGGAGAGAGTTTTTGTTTTCAATTTGAGCCTGGTGTGGGTAAATGTTGGTTTAAGGGAAGAGTCTAAAGTCTGTTAGCACTTCGAATTGCTGTAAATAAAGTGGGGGGGGGTCCGATCCTCAAAAGACTACGGCCCTGACTATGCATGTAGGAAGTAATATGTACAGAGATACAAAATTGCTATTTTTTAATTTTCAAATATATATACCCAATTTATTTAATCTCCAAAAAGCCAGTGAGTGGGCTTGGGCAAAGGAGAAAATAAGGATCGGACCCCTTTTTGAAAGGTGAAAAAAAAGACATTTTTCTGTATCAAACATAACAATTTTATGTAGCTTGAAAAGTTTTTTAGACCTTGAGTACCCTTGAATACCCACGGACCCCCTCCCCCCCCCCCCCCCCCCCAATTCCAAATTTCTCAATCTCGAAGGAGGCAATGGATACAAACACAAGACTTGCATGCCTTATTTTCGCAAAAAAGACAAGCTTTTGTTAGCAAACACCGTGCAAACGAATTATAAACAATAAAATGGCACCATTCCATAAAGCTTGATGTCTTTTGGGAGCAAGCGATGCGGAATAGAAGTAAATATTAACCGAAGGATTTCTAAACCAAAATTCGGAGAAAACTTTATTCTATTCCAAATAACGCCTTCTGAGTGTTATGTATTCTGAATTAACTTTTAGGAGTTTATCTGGGATGCATTATAACCTAGAGCAGCGGTGGACAAGGTTTTTGGACCAGGGCTAAAAATAATACCTACCTAGACTAGCGGGTCATGTATGTGCGAGGTAAAAAGTTACATTTTATGAACAATATTTATAGTGTTACAAAAGCTAAAGTGGAAAACAATAAGCCCTATGCCCAAACTAAATTTAATCGCAATCTCAACAAATTCCTTGAGCTGGTTTCAGCTATAACATCAAAATTTGGTTTTAGTTTGGTTGTGGCAGCATCGGTCGGGCCAGATTAAATTACCCAACATGCCTGATTTGACTCGCGGGCCGTGGTTTTCCATACCAAGTCTAGTGGTTCCCAAAAAAAAGTTGGGCAGGAGAATGGAAACTTGGTAATCGTTACATATTCAAGCGGGATGGGGACTTCAGCCTTTCCTCTGGCACATAATTATATCTATGGGATTCAAACCCGCGAATTTATGCAAAACCTGGAACGCTCTAATGGCCGAAGTATTTATAACCGCTTGGACATGGCGCTTACTTTTACTGAGACAGGGCGTGATTACTGAATAAAGATTTACATGTTAAACGCGAAGATAGGAATGCGTTACAAACCCGCTAATACTGTCAAAGTAACATAATTCTTAGAATAATAAAAATAAAATTTGCTAAAATTTGTTCAACACGTTTTCCGTGTCTATTTATTTATGTTTGCCCATTATAATTTTTTTTTTTAATTTTATTCAGACCGTAACAGCTAGCGCGTCAGACCGGAGGCCGGAAAACGTGGGGTTTCCAAGAGTCTTGGAGGTCTGAGAAGCTTTTCAAGCTACAAAAATTGCTATGTATGATACAGAAAAATGCCCTTTTTTCGCATTTCAAAAGGGTGTTTTGCAATACACACCCAACACACACACACTCACACTCTGTAAAAAAAAAAAACTGTCAAAAAACACCACAAACTTTGCAAAAACATTGAAAAACCGTGGAGAACGCCGATGATTAGAGTTGTACCATGGTTGGTAAATTATATTGCTTTCAAAATCCATAACTTTGAAAAGTTAAAAACAATGCGTTGTGCATGTTGCCACTGGTATGCATTACTCGTGTTATATTATAATGTTGTTACCCAAGAATAAAATTATTTTTTTGCTAAATTCAGATTCCGAAAAGATAATACATGAAAACGTGATGGCATGAGAATGTAATCGTGACAGAATTTTCAGATTCAAAGCAAAAGTTTTGTTTTCGTTTGTTTATAGTTCTGGTCAGGTGTGAAAGACTTCCTGAATGAAACCAATCACATCGGAGTTATGTTTTCTACCACAAAATCAGCTTACTATTTTAGCGTTTAAAAAAATATATTTTTGTATCTTTCTTCAAGTGTTTCGTACTTGCTCTTGATAAACTACTACAGAGTAATTCAAAAAACACTTCATTTGGAATTATCTACGGCAATCCGAACTCATGTGATTTTAAAAGTTTGGCTGAGATTTTCTAAAATTTGCCTTTAGTGAAAATACGCCAAACTCTGACACCAACTCCGGGCTCAGACTCCAAAGGTCGGCTACCAATGCTCATTTTTAAATAATTTGAAATTTTCAGAACGTTATCTTTTTCTATACTGTTAAAAATGTTGTCCAAACAAATAATATTCTCTATTTTTTTGTTTCAATAAGGCCAATATTGAATTTATTTTTTGTAGATTCACATCATAAAGTCTTAAAATTATTATATTTGCAAAGAGAATTTATCGACACCCTATATAGTTTGTTGGCCCCTAAAGGTGTAATAAGTGAAGTAATAGACTGGAAAAAACAATGATTAAAATAAAACAACCCTGGTTAAAATATATTCAAAACTGACTTCACAACAAAATGGAAGTTGTAACATGACTTTGTGAACGCCCTGTATATTATTTATTCCATGTACTCAGATGTAATTAATGGTAAACACTCCCGTTTGAGAGAATTTTGATGTTAATTCAAACACAAGTGCGGAAATGTTAGCAGACCGCATATTAAGATAAGAAGCCTAATCTCATGTAGCTATTTAGCATGTTTATCAATACAGTGGTAAGGACTAAAAAATTGTAACACAATTTATGTGTGGTGAACGGCTAAGTTTAAATCGAGTCAAGGCTATGTCTGGTATACGACAAAGTTTTATTTAGACCTTTTGCGGCTCACCTCAAAGATAATCAGTCGTAAATAGACGTTAAGTGCTCATGGCATAAATATCAAATCGTGTTGGTTTTGACACGACTTTTTTCAGGAGAATTGGATTATTTTGAAATTGAGAGTATAACCTTTTATTCGCGTGTAAAAAAATATAACGATGTCATAATTTAAATGAACGTTTTGAAACAAAAATATGGAAATTACGTCATTGCCAAATAACGTCATCATTTAGTCATATGATGACGTAATGAATATAAAAATACTGATCCCGAGGTGCCGATAGAAAGTTTTCAAGTTTGCTCAAAGCAAGGTCTCTTGAATCAGTTCAGTTCATTAGGGTTAGTAAATCAACGAAAAAGTTAAGTTTTTACCTGAATTGCCAAATAAATTCCTTTCTTGGTGATAGGTCCGATGTCTCTTGTTTCAAAGTTTGTGTCAACGGAACCCGGGAGAAACCGTTTGTCGGCTGCAATTGTGTCGATCTAGAATAAAAAGAATTTTTTAGGTTTCCAAAGTCGATGATTGTCAAGAAGCTAGTTATTATAGCTTGGAAAGAATCGGAATACAGGTACGTAGTGAGGAACCTTCAAAGAGGGCGGTCTGAAACTTCTGATTGTCAAGCTAGACCGTAACAGCTGGCGAGTCTGGCTAGAGGACGGAAACGTGAATTTTTAAGTCTCGGCAAGCAAAAAATTGTTATTTATAATACAGAAAAATGTTGTATTTTTACATTTCAATGGGAGAGGTGTCCGATAAGATATCAGATTCGTTTAGTTACCCCATGTGACTAGGAGGCTAATTTTGAGGAAGTTCGATACACTTTTTTTCTTACCATAAACTACCCTGGTAGAGAATTCTTCCTTTGAATGATGGGATAGCAAATTCGGGAAATTTATCAAATCCATGGCAAAACTTTAGTAAATTCAATTTTGTTGCGTACCTTGATGTAGGGCCCTTCTCTCCATGGAGGGAACGTTGAAGTCGCTGAATCTCGATCTGATTCATAGTAATACAGATTGAAGGTTTCTTTGCAGGTTTTCACATTTGCGACGTCTTCGCAAGCCCTGAGAATTATAAAAATTGTTGAAATAAGTATTTTAAATCAAATACTTTTCATATTTTTTTATGTTTGGTTTCTCAAAGCTAATTCCGAAGTCCGCAACTACAAGCCATGGCCAATAGCACGGAATGTAACGTCACAAAAAGGTGACGTCATAACAACCTATACGTCACAGAACTTTTTTAAAAAATCCATAGCACAGAACGTGATGTCATAATAAATCGTGACATTATAACAACTTTTTCACCGAACTTTTTTGCCGTTGAATAGGAGGAGGCTGGAGTGTCACGGCCTAGAACGTGGCGTCATACTAAAACGTGACGTCATGATAAACCATGTCGTCAGATCACAAAATTAGGGGCGCGAGAATACATGACCAGATTCGCCATTGTTAATGCATACCAACCAATACAAGATTTTAGTAGGCGACATTACATAATGTGACGTCATGGCAAAACTATTGTGAAACAACACAAAAAAATTAGGTCTTTATAACTTTGTAGGTTCCCCCTTCATAACTAACGGAAGTAGATCAAATGAAAGAAGAGTTCGAAAATATGACGTCATAATGAAACTATGGTGTCACAATACATAGAATGACGCCATACTTCAGTTCTACAGCGAGGGTGTGGATGGGGATACAAAATTGCGATAAATCATTAAACACATAACGCCGCTCCTATGAATTCATATGCTGTAATGGCGACATAGCCTCCTTTTTGAATTCGACATTACATACTGATTTAGTGTAAAGATTCTTGATTTCGATAAATATAGAAACAGGCTGCAGAACGGCTTATCAGTGATTGATTGGACATGCTTTTTATGGACCATTTGTCAGGCATGTACGTAACGGTCTTATCTCTCTAGATCCATTATTGTGGGTAGCTATGATGGTTCGCTACTGAAAGCATCTGTTATGTGTTTAGGAACAAGTTTATCTGTCTCATTTAATGTACTGGAGAATGTAATATAAGATGTCTATGGAGTCTTGAAAAAATCTCAAAATTGCAAAGGGAATTTATCGATACCATATATTGTTTTGGCCCTCACAGATGTATTGAATGAGGTAAAAAAAACTTGAATATTAACTGATTAAAAAACAACAAACTTGGTTAAGGTATATTGAAAACTGACTTTATTACAAAATTTTGAAATTGTAAAGGAACTGCATGGAAACCCGGTAGTATTCTGATATTTAAAAGCTATTTAAACATGTTTATTTAACTTCATTGTTTTGGAAAATGAACTCGTATTTTGCGGTACTTTTTAGTTGGCCGCTCGTACAGATGCTTTATTCAAAGTAAAATTCTCGAAACGTAACATATGAATGTCTTTTAGACTAAATCCTAGTTTGCAATGGAAGTCTAAAACGCTTCATGAAAAAGTATCAATACCATTAAAACCGTTACGCGGGCTGGTATTCTTAAAACAACTGATCTACTTTCACACAAGCACAATTAATCAAACGCTTATAGACCATATGTAGGAGGCCTTATCACTTCCATGCCTGCTTACAATACATCATCAGGTTTATTTATTACCACAAATGGTAGCCCAGATTTGTGAACTTGTACCCCTTTTCTAATAAATTCAACACCCGATATCCAAAACTAATTTATCACACTTTAAACCGCGTTATCAATACATACGGTAATTTTATATGTTTTCGTGGGAAAATGGATCTGGGTGTGAAGTTCCTACTGCAAAGTGTAAATTAGCATATTGACCAAAATTTGTTTCTGGTAGATAGTACAGATGGAACTATTTATCGCCAAGTTTTGATTTTGTTGCTAAATTATTGTTGTTAGTCTTGTTGGGTTATTGTTATTGTGAAAAAATCGCATTGATTGTGAATAAGCTGGAATGGAAAATTAAAAATCGGGGGTTGGAATTCCAATCCCCCAAACATCACATAGCTTTTATTTGAAGAGTGACGAATTGCCTATTCTTTGTTTAAAAATTTCTTGTTTGCCACGCATTAAGTTTGGCTCTATGTGTACCAAATCTGGCGCTGTGTGTACCCAATCTGGCGCTATATGTCATAAGTGTGGCGCTATGTGTACCAAATATGGGCATGTATACCAAATATACACTATGTATATCATATTGCTGTAAGTACCAATTACTTCAAAATTCATTTGCCTTTGCGGTGAAGGTACAAATACAAACTTTTTAAAACAAGCATTTATTATTTGAATGTGTATTTAGTCAGCAGCTGGCTGTCAAAAGCAGATGCGGTCAATTAACATAACTCTCCTAATGCTTCCAACTGTTTATTACAATTCAAACAGCGCAAAATACGTGAAAAGTGACATCAAAGACGTTGTCGGCGTTATTGATTTAAAAAACTCAAACAAAAATCAAATTCGGAAGGCAATATCCTAGCAATCGGCACCTTGGGGTCAAGTCGCAGACAATCCGTTCATAATTTATTTAATTCATATCTACTATCTTTCTTTAGGTTTACGAACTTGGATAACCTATGTCGAATCCGTATTATCTCGAAACACTGTATTGCATTTTTTATTATCTTTCTTTATCCTGTATATACAATGTGTATTTTCGGCACGTGTAAAAATAAGCTACTGACTGACTAACCTTATACTGAATTCAATTTCGATATAAATCCTTTTCGCTGATTCAACTTCAATGAAATGTGTTCTCAACCAGTTGTTCTGATTTTGATCTCGAATTGCGCACACTTGAACAACTCGTCGTTCATTCCCGTCTCCATCCAATGTTGTGTGTTCCACCCACTGCAGAAAAAAAATTAAAAGGGTTATTACAAAATGAAAGGGCCAGCTCATGCCGTTTAGTGGCCTTAAGCACTTAAGACTTTGGTCCACCATATGCGTCCTTTAACAAATATTAACACAATAAGATAGACAAGATATTATTCATCAAAACTAAAATTAAGAATGAAAATAGCTTAATAATTAATTTCGCTCTGAAATTTCTGGGCTCCATTATAGTATGTGTATACCAATAAGGAGAGAACTAATTTTGTTCGCCTACTTTACATCAAGTTGTGTACCGGGACTGAAACCTATGGGCAGGTTTACTTGGCTCACAAAGACAGTCCTGAACTGTGATAGAACTAAAATAAAGAAAATCGGAATAAAATTATGGCCTGGTACACACATTATAGAAGTACCTAAATTTATGTGTTGCCCGCTTCGCTTGCTACCTTAAGCACGTGGTTAATTCAGCCCTATGTGTGTCTGCAAACGCATTGCCCTAATATGCCTGGTTGCAATCAACAGTTATACTTCATAGCCAGCATAGACTGTACCTCATCGGGATTAGTAGGACATGCCCTTTAGGTCCTTAACCTTAAACGCTAAGTCCCAGGGCTCAACACTCAGCCATTGGGGGATTAACAGGAAATGTATTAGGCTGTTTATTGTGGTATTTTTAATGCACTACTTCAGCAATGGCATTGATGTATTCATTTTTAAGCCAATTAGACAAATGCTAAATACAGGAACATCAAGCTTTCGTGCTAGAATATTGCTGGGGTGAGCCAACACTTATGATTCATCATGTAAGAGTGTCTTTTATTTTAAAGGATCAGAATCTTTCTGTTTTACCATTGCTTACTCAATTTATTAAATCTTGTATTTCATGCGAGAAACGTTAGCTAAAATGATATCAAAGAGTAGATACAATAGGGTATTTGGTTGTATTATGATTGTTATCGAGCCGTAGCGTCAATCTATGATCTTATAGTATAGCACCTTGTTTGGTACTTCCGTAGTATGTGTACCAGATTAGGGTTAGGGCATAATTCCGATTTTCCTTATTTTAGTTCTATAACGAGTTAGGGGACTGTCTGTATTAGCCAAGTGAATACTTATGGAGTATTCTAGGAGCCACACCCTTCTGGAGCGCCCCTTGTTGTATTAAATTCGTTTTCACGTCACCACTCTTAAAACAAGACTCTGTGCAGGAATCAACTGTTACGTAAGATGCTCGTATTTATCAATAGAAAACCCAAATCCTTCTGGTTACCATTTCCTCCCCAATTTTTTACACCCCGTATTTCATGCGAGTAAAATACAAGTGTAGCTATAATAACGCTATCGTAAGGTAGTTGGTTTGTTAAAAATACGATAAAATATCAAGCAAAATCAAAGTTCCATAATTGTTTCCAACCAGTAAAAGATAATCAATCGTTCACAAGTTTTGAGAAAATAGATAATCAGGCAGTCTTACTGAGAGGGGATGTTATATAGTTATAATCTGCGAAACAGCCACAGCGATCCTATTTCGAAGTTCATCGGTCATAAATTGAGCTTGAAATGCGCATTTTTTGAAATGAATAATCGCTCTTCTATCTCTACGCCAGGTGCAAGAAGAGATATTTTTACGTTCGCTGTTAGTTTATCAGCTTCTTTATAAATAAATTGTAACAAATGAGTTTTTGAATAGGTGAAACGTAACATTTGTTATCGATTGGGTGTCCGCGGTAGCAAATGCGCTGTGATATTTATACATTTGCACAGATGTTATCTGCTACTTTTTAAAGTGTAAAAAAAAAAATGTTCCTGTTTCATACATATCAATTTTTCGTATGTATCTAGAAATGCTTTTTCACCATGAAGACTCTTGGAAACTTACGCTTCCCGCCTAGCTGTTATGGAAGTGATAAGGCCTCTTACATATGGTCTATAAGCGTTTGATTAATTGTGCTTGTGTGAAAGTAGATGTTGTTTTGATAATGCGAGTCCGGTAACGGTTTTAATGGTATTGATACTTTTTCATGAAGCGTTTTAGACTTCCATTGCAAACTAGGATTTAGTCTAAAAGACATTCATATGTAACGTTTTAAGAATTTTGCTCTGAATAAAGCATCTGTACCGCAAAATACGAGTTCATTTTCCAAAACATTGAAGTTAAATAAACATGTTTAAATAGCTTTTAAATATCAGAATACTACCGTGTTTCCATGCAGTTCCTTTATAATTCAAAGTATGTAATAAAGTCAGTTTTCAATATATCTTAACCAGGTTTGTTGTTTTTTAATCAGTAAATGTTCAAGTATTTTTACTTCTTTTTAATACATCTGTGAGAGCCAAAACAATATATGGTCTGTCTAACTTGGCAATGTTCACACTCCCACAAAGGGGATGATGAAACGGCCCGACTAAAATAGTATTTTTTTTTTAAAGATTAATTTTTCTTTTAATTTTTGTATTCTCAAGAAATGGAACTGACAATTTCTAAATGTGACGCTCACTTCAACAAGGCAAGGGATATTTGATGACCGCAATCCTTAAAAGGGTATGAAAAATGACAAAACCAAAATAGAATATTTAAAGTTACTTACTACTTTCAAAAATTAAAGTTTTCTTAATTTCCAAGAAATCGAACTGCTTTTAAGTAGGTGTTGTCGTTATAATTAAGATATATCAGGTAATTAATATTCCGTACTTGGCATTGACTTAACAAAAAACACCGTGTTCCATCATAAGTCTGGTGAATTAAAACTGATTTGGGGGTTCGATAAAAGGTTTATTTGACAAGTTAGCAATTAAAATTTGAAAATGGGGAGAAAAGAGCGCGACCGCTATTTTTGTGCTAGGATATACAGTTGGCGGAGAAATGACCGCGGTCGCGATTTTGTTGTTGAGATTTAAAGGGTGGCCAAAAACAGAACCCATAAATTTCTATATTACTTCTATGAAAATGGACAAAACACTACAAAACAGGATGATGTTTGGTTGTAGTACAATGGAAGTTAACCCTAAATCAGGCTTTGCTATATATAAGTGAGCAATTAAAAAATGAATATCCGGGAGTAATGAGCGCAATCGCGATTTAGTTGTTGAGATATATACATGGAAATACATTTGGTTGTATTATAAAGTCAATTTATTGAAATAGAAAAAATGCTAAGAATGAGCGCAACCGAGAGTGTACAGCAAAAACAATGAAATTTAGCTATAAAGTACGTTTAGTTGCGGGGATTATATGAATGTTCTATGTTAATATTTAAAATTTTTATTGCACTTTTTTACAGCTTAAAACAAACCCCTAGACCAGAAAAAAAAAATTTCATTGTGTTTTGACTGATAAATGTTCTGCCTAATTTATCACATACTGAGTGACCGAGAAGTTGGACCGTCCAAGATTTGAACCCGGGACACCTAACGTAAATATGGGTCCAATTATCTCATAACATGTGACTTAGCGTTTTTTATCCCAATCTAACTCTTCGGGTGAGAAAAGTGAGGAAACTTGAAGGTATTTGGTTGTATTATGATTGTGGTTAAGCCGTTGCGTCAAGTTATGCTCTTATGTTATTACTTCGTGTTGTTTTAAGCGTCTGTGTTTACTTAGGGAAACAGGGGGTTCATATATTTCGATAAATTAGATTTTTGGAAATAAAATGGCCTGTTGGTCGTTTTGCTGAATTGACGTTGTTCATACTTTATTGTTGTTTTTGTAAAAAAAGACTTTTCTCAATGAAACAGTGTGTAATAATTTGGATAAGCAATGCTGAAACGGTTCTTTCAAATAAAAGTATCCTTCTCTATGTGTACCAAGTATGGTGCTATGTGTACAGAATATACGATATATATACCATGCATGGCGCTGTATAAATTAAGCATTGCACTTGACAGCAAAAAGTATTGAAATAGAGACTAAAGAAATTTTGCTGGAAATGTGCTTGACTGCACATTTTTGTTGATTGTGTAAACAGAGATACACATTCTTGTTGCACTTGACATTTGAACTCCAAGCTTTTAGGAATACGATGACACAATTTTGAATTTTACTCATTCTTCCTTAGTAGAAGGGAAACTCTCAAAATGTTTTTATTTTTTTATGTGTCGAATTTTAATCATTTTTCCTGTGTAAAATAGGGGGACTCTCGAAATGTTTTAATTTTCTTTTCCATGTGTCGTTTTTAATCCTACGCTCCAAGTACGACTATATAAAAAATTTCCAGGAATTTTCCTAGAGGGGGTGGGGGTGATTCTAAAATTTTTAGTTTCTGAGTTAAACTGTAACAGCTATCGGGTCGGGTCGGAAATCGTGGGTTTTCAAGAGTCTTGAGGGTCTAAAAAGCGTTGAAACTACGAAAAATTGTTTGCTATGTATGATACAAAAAAAGCCTTTTTTCATTGCAAACGGGGACGACGCTCAATCGACGGCCTAAGTTTCTCGCTGTGAACCAAGTATGGCGCTATGTGAACCAAGTAAGGCGCTATGTGTACCATGTTTGGCGCTATGTGTACCAAATCTGGCGCTATGTGTACCATGTTTGGCGCTATGTGTACCAAATGTGTCAAAATGAAAAGATACCAGTTTTTCAAAAATGGTAGCTTTCTCAATGTGTATTAGGTATGGCGCTATGTGTACCCAATCTGGCACTATGTGTACCATGTTTAGCGCTATGTGTACCAAATATGATACCAGTTTTTCAAAAAGGGTAACTTTCTCTATGTGAACCAAGTATGGCGCTATGTGTACCAAATATGTCGAAATGAAAAGATACCAGTTTTTCAAAAATGGCAGCTTTCTCAATGTGTATTGAGTATGGCGCTATGTTTACCCAATCTGGCGCTATGTGTATCAAGTTTGGCGCTATGTGTACCAAATATGTCGAAATGAAAAGATACCAGTTTTCAAAAAATGACAGCTTCTCAATGTGTCTTAGGTATGGCGCTATGCGTACCCAATCTGGCGCTATGTGTACCCAATCTGGCGCTATGTGTATCAAGTTTGGCGGTATGTGTACCAAATATGTCGAAATAAAAAGATACCAGTTTTTGAAAAATGGTAGCTTTTTCAATTTGTATTAGGTATGGCGCTATATGCACCCAATCTGGCGCTATGTGTACCGAATATGTCGATTTTTTTTCGAGAATAGTATCTTTTTACATAACGTAGATGCTTATACAGAGCCTTGTTCCGAGTGAATGACGTGGATGAGCGTTGTCATGAAAACAGATGACGGCATTCACTTTAAAATAACAAACCACGCCCAGATTACAAGCAGACTAATGTCATGTTAGTGTGGGATAATGTTTCAAAATATTAATAGGCAGAGCGAATCTCGTCTGCGGCATAGAATACACGATTTCCCAGCAATAATGACTTTTTGTGGTGAAAACACGAATCTCAGGAATTTTTCAAAATTTTGCGGGATTTTCTGGAAAATGTCTTTGTCATACATGAGTCATTTTATCGTCCAGTGTTTATAACGTTAAGCTTATCTATGTTGCCATTCCAGGCAGTAGAGAAAAATTTTAAATCAAGTAGATGTCAAAAAAGATGAAAACTTTTGTACAAATTCCCGCCACAAATGCAAAAATGTAACATTTGAGAAAAATATTTGTGTTTAAGGAATGATTTAAAAATTTGAATTACAAGGCAATCCGAATTCTCAATTTCAACCCAAATGCTAACTGGATAATTACTTTGAGCGTTGGCATGGGTGTTTTACAAAAAATCAGAAAACGATCGATAAAGCCTCATAATATTAAACTTACATTTGAATCTTGAGCAGTTGTCCATCCTAAGTCAGATGTGGCAGTTCTGGTGTCAACGAGGACGGCTGTGAGAAAAAAAAAAATTATTAGAATATGAGTAGATACTTAAGCTTTCATTTTTTGGTGATGCGGCTCAGTGTATTCGGTTAAAACCTTCTTTGAATTGATTTTCACGAATACTGTTACCGCCTACATGAAGAGGACCTGTCTACTGGCGACTGTAACAATTTTTAAATAAAAATACATAAAGTCAAAAGCCATTGGCGTTGAGAAATCTCGTCCGCTTGCTCCCGGGCCAAAGTTCTAACGCGGGCCTGTCTTGGACGGCCGGCCATATCATAAAAAATTAGTATTCCTTGTTTGAACCATGAAAGCAAAACGAAATAAAATAGCATTTATCACGGTAGAATTTACACTGGTACTATGTGAATAGATATATTTATATCATTGCAATATACGAAGCGAAATATTCGAATTGTCGCGACTATCACATTTTACCCTACATGCATTTACAATCCGCCATTTTTTGTGTTAATTTCATCAACTAACTTCAGCAAATAACGACCTCCCATGTTTTTTTTTAGTTTATATACTATTCGCGACTGATCTGCAAGTCACAACTACTGCAAAAATCATATTTTTCCTACATGTACTACAATTCAGGGTCACCATATTTTGTCCAAAATGATCAACCAACGCGACCGCCATGTTTTGTCCATTTAACACCTTCAAGAACAACCAGTGCTCTCAGTTCATTGGGAAATCAAACTATGTTTTGTAAACAACAGCGACGTCCAACGATGTCCACCATGTTTGTTGTCAAAACACAGTTTCACACATTTAGTTGGATTTGAACCGACAATGAGAGTTGGACGTAGTGACTTGGCGGAATACAGTACACCCACTCATCTTGAAACAAACTTTTGAAAAAATAAATACATCGACATTTAAACTCGTATACCGGAGATTTAACAATGCTCTGAGGCTTCGATGACCTTTTGGCCTCTTTGAAAAAGTAACTCATTAAATCACAACTTTTTCGGCCAAACTTGAAAGGGAGATGATCAAAATTTGAAAAAAAATGACGAACTAGCGAGTCGAACGAAAATGAGTGTAAATAAATATACACGGGGGATAGCAAAAGAATTAACACGATATGTCATCCTTGTAATATGTCAAATTAATTTTGATTTCTCAAAGTAAAATCCTTTAAATAAATTCAAAATCAAGCTATAGAATGTGAGCTGAGATAAAAAAAAATCTACACGTTACCACTGATACACAAAGTCTACTCTAAATACGTGCTATGTGCGCATATTTTCACTGTAAATATTATAAAGAGAATTTGATTGAGTCAAGTCAAGTTTATTTTTTCATTTTCATGTTTTCATGTTTCAAAAATCATGCAAAAAATAAGGAAAAAATGATATTCACATTACTGGGGAATGGAAGCCGTGAGGAACCAGGTTATCGAGCAGCGACACCCAAGATTCTAACATATAATTCGACAGATTGGGGAGGATATTTTCCAAATTACTGTTATTAGTTGTGAATAACATATGAATGTTGCAAATTAGTTAGAATTGTTGGGCACACTCATACCGAAAATTCATTATTGAGAAATGTTACAGGCGGACGTTAGCGCACTGATATTATATAACTGCTAGTAATCATACGAGATGCGAGATTTGAAAAAGTTTAAGTCAATGTGTTGTCTGTGTTAGCCAAGTGAATATACCGCCTTCACATAGTGCAGTCCCTTTACACAACTTAATGTAAAATAGACAAACAAAATTAGTTACCTCCATATTGGGACACATACTTCTGGAGCGCCCAAATATTCTCTGAAAATCACGCACAAACATTTTGTTGGAGTGAAAGTCAATTACTTAACGCGAAAAACAACAAGGACACGCAAATACCAGAATTTGAACTTCAACTTTTTGATTCGCATGACAGATAATGATTTATGTAGATCGGTAAACGTTTTGTGAAGCAGGTAACGCCTTATATAGACCGATTTTTTTTTCATTTTTAATAAGGGATGTTCAACACAATTGCGCTTTGCATTTGGCTCCACCAAAGAAACCTCAGCGGTTAGAACATTAGACTTCTTTGAGCCTTTGGAATGGTCCATTGGGATTCCGAGCCACTAAAATGGTTAAAACACTTTTACCTTATCAAGAGTGTGCCGACTTTTTAACCCATAATGATGCCCCTTTTACCTAACTACAAAAATATTCGAATGAAATAAAGTAAGAAGAGAATGATTGTACTATTGCGTAAATCACGCAATGGCCAGACGAGCACATTGTCGGGAAAAGAACAGTCATCCATTGCTGGTTCACCGTTACCGCAATTAGTCACACAAGACTAAAAACACACGTAATAAATAAACCGAGAATGATCATAATAACGCGAACTCTACAGCTTTGATATGCTACCCCCTGTAGGTCTATAACGTGCTGCCTATGTCGCCTTCTTCTAGGGCCCCCTAATCCCATCTCAGTGTAAATGAATCACGTTCAACATTTAACCTCAGATATTGTAAATTGAATATTTCTAGGAAAGCATCCGCGTTTCACCTAATTGACGGTTCGCTACCCTTGACATATTATGAATGCTTTTTTAGCATCGTCGTTTATGTCAATGTTTTATAGACATAACAAAGCATATAGGGACTTCAGTTATGTTGATTTACTACCTCTGTTTTCTTGATCTTGAAGACTTGGACTGGTTCAAATTTCGCATTATTCGGGATTCAGAAACTCACAATTAAACGCTATAGTCTTATATAGTGGTTGCTATTACTTCACTCAAAGATCAGTCGCTATGTTTCTGAGTGAATGCGCGCTTTCTTGCTTCGAGCAAAGAAGACCACTCCGATTTTTAAAATAAAAAAATAATTTTCTGTAGCATAAGATATTTTTCGTTTTCCGGGCCCGCTAGTTGTTGCGGTTAAAAATTTCAGAAACTCCTCCCTTTGAAAATTTTAAGTTTTTTAAAAAAAGATGGTGGACATTTGATTCGAACCCGGGATCTTTAACTTGCGATGCCAACTTAGTAAAGATCAACGCTTTAACCACTCGGCCATCGGACCTAAGCTGATTCGAAAAAAAAATCACAAACCGTAAGAATTCGCGCAAAATAACATGAATCACTCGCTGAAATAATCGCAGACTATAATTTTCACAAATTTGTATGAATTACCCAAAAATTTTGCCCAAAGCAACGTCTGAAAGTAATAATTGTCGTAATTATCGACCAGTTCTCACGGCTCAATTATGCCAAGAAAAATAATTAAATGTGGAAATTGACGAACAAAGACTCGACAAAAATTTGGTGAAGTGAAAAAAACAAGCGCAATTATAATGCCACATAGTACCGTGGATGTTACTGTAATAGTTATCGTTACCACAGTGAGAGTGCGCCATAGACGATCAAAGACTTGATAAAATGGAAAAACAAGCGAAATTATAATACAACATAGTACCGTGAATGATACTGGTTACGGTTATCGGTACCATATTTGAAAGAACGCCATACCCACAGACGAATAAAGACTCGACAAAAATGTGGTGATCAAGGAGAGCTAACGCGCAATTTTATGGCCCCAAGGTGTCGTCAATGGTACTGGTTACGGTAACGGTTATCGGTACCGTGTTTGAAAGTACGCCATACCTACAGGCAGTTCAGAATAGATTAGGGGAAAGGCTAAATTAAAGAAAATTTCCTATTCATTTAACTTTCTATGCAATACATTTCTGAGTTGGCAATGAAAACTGAAGATTATTTTGTTCTTTATTTTCAATAGTATGTTAATAATCGATTAAAACATTTTTCTAAAATTGAATTTTTTTTAGACAAGAAGTCTTATTTTAATTGAACCGATTAAGAATTAATTTATAGATAAATTCCGATAGCAACGATTTAAAAAATTTCTAAAATTAGGTAAAAAAAATTTGTATACCAAAAATAGGCGTATTATGGCTGCAAACGAGAACATAGAGATACAAATAACGAAAATCCGCACCCGAAACAAAAATAAACTTAAAAAAATATGACATCATGTTTTTTTCTCCAAAAAAGTAGCCAAAATCATATTTAAACTCGGACTCATATTTCAAAGAAATTTTTATCTCTTATTACGCATGGCGCATTTACATGAAAATGATTTTGCAACCGTTCTGAGCCTGACCAGACGAAATAAAAAATACCGAAATTAGTAAAAAATATTTAAGTTTCGCTCGCTTAATTTTGTGAATAGGCCTTTTGTCGCCTGGAATTTAGCGTTTAATATGGCAACACTCAACTAGTCAAATAGGTGAAACAAGGTAGCCAAGCTATTCTGCATGGTATAGTTCAACGGTTCCCAATTGATGCTAAGTGCGCTGCAAAAAGCAACAGAATTGTGTTGATCATTACTAAAATATGATTGAATATTTTACATATTGTATTTATTATAAATGTTTTATTATTTCCTATTTTAAATGTGCTGCGTATATACAGAAGAATTGACCTTTTATTTTTATTTCTTAGGTCTACATGTCCATAAACTTTAAAGCAAAAAGTACACATAACGAGCACAAAATTGGGTGCTCTAGAAGTATGCGCACCAAGATGTCGCACAACCTGAATCCTAACCGGTACACACCTACTAAGTTCAGGTTGCGCGCCATCTTGGTGCGCATACTTCAGGAGGTCCCAAAATGGAGTATCATTTGTAAGCAGCAGTTTTTTCGTGTGAGTGCGCCATGCTTTTTTTCCTGATAAATTTGACGCCGCACGAAAGAAAAGTTTGGGAACTGCATGATATAGTCCCACGTATCACAGCTGGGAAAGGAGAGGAATTTTGCTTTGCATTTGCTTTAGTATCATTGGACACAAAATGGATCTATTTTGGTGTTAGGTTGTTGTTATTGTTAGATTTCTTCTTCATGTGAAAAATCGCTTTTTGTTCAACTATTATACTAATTTGTTTTAGTGGTTAAAGATTGTCGTTTTCTCCAGCAGACTGTTATTTCATTTAATTTTTAAAATTCTTGTGGACGCCATGGATTCGTTT